TCTTGCGTCTTCACTCAGACCGTGGTGGCGAGTTTGCCTCCGGTGTCCTTGGTCGCTTTTGTCGTGCGGAGGGCATCACCCAGACGTTCACCCTACCGGACTCCCCACAGCAGAATGGGGTCGCTGAGCGACGCATCGGTTTGGTCATGGAGGTGGCTCGCACCTCCATGATCCATGCCGATGCACCCCATTTTCTGTGGCCGTTCGCTGTGCGCTACGCTTCTCACCAGCTTAACTTGTGGCCGCACCCTCAGCAGCCGCAGGTTTCGCCGACCCGTCTTTTGACTGGGTCTCCTGGTGACGTGTCTGCGTTCCACGTCTGGGGCTGCCTTGCTCACGTTCGTGCCTCCAGCACGGACAAGCTCACCGCCCGCACTCTTCCCTGCGTCTTCCTTGGTTTTCCCCTTGACGCGTCCGACTGGCACTTTTACCACCCGCCGTCTCACTGCTTCTTTCACTCTCGTGACGTCACCTTTGACGAGTCCATCCCCTACTACCGTCGCTTCCCCTACCGTGGTCCCCCGGTTACCCCCCCCCTGTTCCTGGCCACTCCTTCCCCGGTAGTCCCTGCCCCTCCTCCTCCTCCTCCCCGTCCCGCCCCCTCTGGTGTGTCCCACGTCACCCCCCTTCCGTCGGTGGACCCGGTTGAGGAGTCTTCTGACTCTGGTGGCCCTCCTGTGCAGTCCTCCCCAGCTGCCCCTCCCCCGGCGTCCCCTCCCCAGTCCCTCCTCTACCGCCTCTGCCGCCGCTGCAGACGTCGTTGTCGCTGCCGCCGCCGCCGCTGCCGCCGCCGCCGCCGCCGCCGCCGCAGCACCCGTTCGCTGACTCTAGGGGTGCTCGTCCCGGTCGCCCAGGGGGTGGCCCCTCTGGGGGTGCTGGTGTGGAGAGTGCCAGTGGTAGCCGAGGAGCAGCTTGCGGTCCAGGTGTCGCCGTTGTGCCGCCGCAGCAGCAGTCCCCGCCGGTGTCAGCCCTTCGCCTGCTCGGCCTTCCGTCCCCCGACCCTGCGTCTGTTCCTCCCCGACCGTCTCCTCCTCTTCTTGTCTACGGCCCTGTTTTCCCTCCGCCGGACTCGTCCCCGGCCTGTCTCCCCCCTCGTTCCCCTCCTGTTTCCCCTCCCCTGTCTCTTGACCCGACTCCTCCGTCGCACGTCTGGTCTCACCGTCCCTCCCGTGCTCGTCCTGCCTCCCCTGTCTTGTGCTCCCACCCTACACTGACGGAAAGAATTGTCCACATGTTTGGCAATTTTTTGAATTTCCACCGTTAAAGGGCATTTGAACATTAAGCCTTAATTGGAGGCATTACCCACTATATGCAGGCTAATCTAGGGAGACATTAAAATGCTACACATTTGATGAAACTACTATCGTTAACAGTAAACAGCAAACATAACCAAACACGGTGCATGTGGACAATTATTTCCAGGCGGAAGCAGCAACTTGAAAAACCCTTAAACTACTACCTGGTCCACCGCCCTTTAGCCCTAATCACTGCTTTCACCCTCCTGGGCATGCTGTCGATCAAATTGGAGCACACCTCTGATGGGATCTTCTCCCACTCCTCTTGTACACGCTCCCACAGGTCCACCATACCAGTGGGAGGTGTCTCATGCTTTCCCAGCTCCCTTTTAAGATGAGCCCACAGATGCTCAATGGGGTTCAGATCAGGACTTCCTGCCGGCCACTCCAGGACCCCATACTCCTGCTCCTGAAGCCACTGCTGCACCACACGGGACTTATGCTTGGGGTCGTTATCATGCTGGAAGATCACAGCCGAGGGGGTTAGCTTGTAAAAGTCGATGGTTTTTTTTCAGCTCGTCTTGCAAAATGCTCAGATACAGCGGCCCGTCCATCCGACCATCGATTTTGCACATGAAACCCGCCCCCTCAAACGTCATACATCCCCAGATCATCAAGCCGCTGCCCCCGTGTTTGACGGTTTGCTTGATATGGTGGTGTTGGAGAGTCGTACCTTCACGAACCCAGGCGTACGCGCGGCCGTCAGAGCCGAACCTACTAATCCTCGTCTCATCCGACCATATGACCCGTCGCCAATCATCTATGGTCCAATCCGCGTGGGCCCGTGCGAACGCCAGCCTATCGCGGATATTTTTCTTGGTGAGTCGCGGCTTCTTAGGCTGCTGAACTGCGATAAGGCCGCTGGATTTGAGCGCATTACGCACCGTCCTAGGATGCACCGTGATGCCGTGCTGGGATTCGACGATTTGGGCCGCATGCCTCGAGGTTTTCGCCTCGCCGCTAGTGATCGCCCTGACGATCCCACGACGAATTCTACTCGACAGTACGCGTGGACGACCAGCAGTGGGCATTGTAGGACGAACGTCCTCGGGACTAGTCTCTGAAATCGCCTTGAGCCCAACATCATGCACTATACTTTTCCCAACGCCAACCTGTTTCGCGATTTGCCTCGTGCTGAACCCCCTACGCAACAGGGCCACGATCCGGGCGCGACGAGCCTCATCTATCGGTCTCATCTTGGCGTAGTCTACGCCTCGGGTATAAACTTTATTCTGACTACTCGACGATTGCGTTAGGAACTATGGAGAGAATGCTCTAGTCGAAAACGGATCTAGTCCGCTGCTTGGCCAAAACTGTCCGGATGCACTCACGCGACTGAAATCTTGGCCACGCTATTAGTGCGACCCATTCAGGTTGCAAACGTGTTACCCTATTGTAACTGGCACGCGTAACTTATTAGTCAGCAATGAACATTCAACGATACATCGGGTGAAAGCATTCAAATCATGTGTTGAACCTAAAATTGGACTTTATCCGGGCAATACTTTCCGTCGCTGTATGTTGCTTCGTTCCCACGCGTCTCGTCCTCCCCTTCTGCCGTTGCCTCCTCCGTCCTCCCTTGTTGTTGCACCCCCCCCGCTGTCTGACTACCTTCGTGCAGCTCGTCCCCTTGTTCCTCGGGTCCTTGCCTCTCTCGTTACCGACCCGTCCGTTCCGGTCTCGTGCCTCGACGCTCTTGTCGCTGCGGTCGCTGACTTCGCCTCTACCCGCCGCCTTGACTACGCCTCCGCTCTGGTCTCTGACCCTGCCTGTCCTCCGTCTGTCGGGGGTGCTCCTGCCCTTGGCAGTGACGTCCTGGAGGACCGCCAGTTCGAGCTTGCTTTCCTCTCCGAGGCTGCTCCCCATCTCTGTTCCATGCTGCTAGTCCCTGAGGGTGACCCAGACGCTTTTGACATCCCGACCCCTCGCACTTACGCTGAGGCGACTTCGGGACCCTGCGCCTCGCAGTGGATAGCTGCCATGGAGCAGGAGATGGCATCTTGGAGATCCACCGGCACCTTCGTCGACGCAGTTCCCCCACCTGGGGTGAACGTAGTCGATGGCCGCTGGCTCTTCAAGGTGAAGCGCCCTCCTGGAGAGCCGCCTGTCTTCAAGGCGCGCTATGTGGCTAGAGGCTTCAGTCAGCGTGAGGGGGTGGACTTCTTCCAGACTTTCGCTCCGACCCCGAAGATGACTACTCTTCGGGTTCTGTTACACCTAGCTGCTCAGCGTGACTACGAGCTTCACTCCCTCGACTTCTCCACTGCCTTCCTTCAGGGCAGCCTACACGAGCAGGTCTACTTGCGTCGCCCTCAGGGCTTTACTGGCACCTTCCCTCCTGGGACCCAGTGGCTCCTACGGCGCCCTGTCTACGGCCTGCGCCAGGCTCCCCGTGAGTGGCACGACACGCTGCGTGCTACGCTTGCTGACCTGCAGTTCTTTCCGTCTTCCGCAGACCCTTCACTCTTCGTTCGTGCTGGCCAGACTCCGTTCTACATCCTTGTTTACGTCGACGACCTGGTCTTTGCCACAGCTGACAGGGACGCACTGGCCTCCGTGAAGGCAGAGCTGCTGAAGAGACACACGTGCACTGACCTTGGAGAACTGCGCCGCTACCTTGGCTTGCAGATCTCCAGGGACAGAGCATCGCGCACCATCACCCTGACTTAGTCACACTTGGTGCGCCAGGTCCTTCAGAGGTTCAGCCTTCAGTTCTCCTCTGCACAGCCCACCCCTCTGCCTGTAGACCACAGACTCTCCGCTCCAGTGTCTGAGGAGTTGGTAGAGCCCAGCGGCCCCTACGCAGAGCTGGTGGGTTGCCTCATGTACCTGATGACTTGCACTCGCCCAGATCTCGCAAACCCTCTCAGCATCCTGGCTCGCTTTGTGGCCACAGGCAGACACCGACCGCAGCACTGGTCTGCCGCTAAGAGGTTTTTGCGTTATCATGCTAGTACATCGGGCATGGGGTTAGTGCTAGGAGGACGCAGGCCAGTGGTCCTTACTGGACACACAGACGCTTCGTGGGCAGACGACGCCGACACACTCAGGTCTACCCAGGGCTACTGCTTCAGCCTTGGCTCAGGTGCCGTCTCGTGGAGAGCTACCCGCTCCTCGTCTGTTGCCCAGTCCAGCTGTGAGGCTGAGATCTACGCTGGTGCCATGGCGGCACAGGAGCTCCGCTGGCTGACCTTCTTGCTCACTGACTTGGGTGAGCGGCCTAGCTCTGCCCTGGTCCTGTTCGCTGACAACAGGGCCATGATCCTCCTGTGTCAGGAGCCTCGACTCGAGGGCAGAGCGAAGCACATTCAACTGCGGTACTTCCTCCTGCGTGAGCTACTGCAGCGACGTCAGGCTCGCGCAGTACACTTGGCCTCAGGTGCCAACACGGCTGATATCTTTACGAAGGCGCTTGCGCCTAAAGATCATCAGCGGCACTGTGTACAGCTTGGTCTAGTTCCTGTAGCCTCTCACTTGCTAGGACCTTGACTTTGTACTGTCCTTTATATGTATACTCAAACTGGACTTGTTTCCTCTCCCAGTGGCTGGACTAGTAGTGCCGCCCTGCTCTTGTTCGTGCCTTGTTTGTACTCCTTCTGACTGGTCTCTCAGACCCTTGCCTCAGAGGTTGGACTAGTAGTGCCGCCCTGAGCTGCTTGTTTAGGACGTTCCCCTATGCAGTCTAGGGGGTGTGTCAAACATGTGTATTTGTCATGTTTGTATAGACTGTATAGGGTCACCTTTTAGAGGGTACAACACTTAGGTATATCTATGTGTACTCTCACTCTACAATCATTCACTACTCTAATTCTGATACCGAGTCCCTCGTCCCTTAAAGCTGCCTAGAAAGGAGTGGACCCGATGATGTTCCCCTCGGGCGAGCATTCGCACACCACCACAAGCGTCGTCCCCGGCAACACCACCTGCGTGTAGTGCCCACACATCCTCCCCTCCGCACACCCCTCGGGCGCCAGGCTATTTGTCCAGTCCGCATTCTCATCCACCCACGACTGCGCTGCCCTACGGTCCTCCTCAGGGGTCAGCCCAGCAGGTGAGAGCCAGTAGAGGTTCTGCCCGAGCCCGTCCTTGCCGCCGTGCTCCAGGGGGGACCCCCTGGAGGCGAGGTCGTTGGCCCAGTCTTGCGCCGCTGCTGCCACACCGTCGTCCCATGCCAGGTCCGGGACGCCTACCTCCCGCCTGGCGGCGTTGTGCACGTAGAGAATCGCTGCAATGTCAATGCTGCCGTCGCCGCCACCGCCGCCGCTGTCACCACCACCGCTGCCACCATCGCTATAGTCACCACCACTGCCATTATCACCACTGTAGTCACCCCCACTGTAGTCATCACCGCTGCCATTATCACCACTGTAGTCCCCACCACCATAGTCACCACCACCGCCATTATCACCACTGTAGTCACCACCATAATCACCATTGTAGTGACCACCGCCATAATCATCATTGTAGTCACCACCGTAATCAGCGGTTCTGCCCTGTGCAGATGAAAGGGAGCCAAGCCGCTCAGCCCCGCTATTCACTCCGTGCCTGCTGCTGCTCCTTTCAGCACCACGGTTCCTCCTGTGAAGAGCCACATCGTCGCTCGTCGCCTTGTGAAACTCCACCCCCTCAAACTCAAACCGGTCGTTGAAGCTAGTCTCGCTGCGCGTTGACACCCTCATGGCTCCCTTCCTGTCGTTTTCAACGCCGTTCTGCTTCCTGCCGTCCTGGCCTTCTTTCAGCAGTGGCGTGGACCTGTGAGTAACTGGCACATCCTCGGCCGATGCCTTGTGGAAGCCCACGCCGCGTCCGTTTGCCTTGGAGTTGCTGGGATGGGATGACGCCATGGCTGCGGCGCCACGACTCGCCTGATTTTTGTGCCGAATCGCCACATCGACAGCTGATGCCTGGTGGATTCCCATGCCGCGTTCGTTTGCCTTGGAGTTGTCGGGATGGGATGACGCCTTGGCTGCGGCACCGCGATTCGCCGAGTTTCTTTGACGAGTCATCCCCACATCCTTGGCTGATGATGACTTGTGAATTCCCGCGTGGTGCTGGCTCGCCTTGGGGTTGTCGGATGACGCCATTTCGGCACGATTCTGATTCCTGTGCCAAATCGCCACATCCATGGCCGATGATGACTTGTGAATTCCCGCGCGGTGCTGGCTCGGCTTGGGATTGCCGGTGGATGACGCCGTGGTGTGTGCGGCACCATGATTCTGATTTCTGTGCCGAGTCATCGCCACATCCTTGGCCGATGACTTGTGAATTCCCGCTCGGTGCTGCCAGCGGCTCGACTTGGGATTGGCAGATGGCGCCACTGCGGCAGCGCCATGGTTCTGATTCCTGTGCCGAATCGCCACGTCCTTGGCCGATGCCCTGTGAATCCCCGTGTGGTGCTGGCTCGTCTTGGGGTTGCTGTTTGGCACAGTGCCGTTTGTGTTCGTGTCATTTGCTGCCATGGTAAACGTGCCGTCCACGTTCGTGCTGTTCGGAGCCATCGTAGACGTGCCGTTTGTGCAATTCGCGCCGCTTCCCGCAATTTTAAACTGCACAGTGCCGTTCGAGTCGTTCGTGCCGTCCGCGTTCGTGCTGTTCGGAGCCATCGTAGACGTGCCGTTTGTGCAATTCACTCCGTTTGCCGCCATTGTGATCTTCCCAGATGCCTTGCCGCCAGAACCAGCGCGGGGATGGGGCGCACCAGCGGGATGGGGCGCACCAGCGGGATGGGGCGCACCAGCGGGCGGCTTGGCCGGATCAGCGGTATGGGGCGGACCAGCGGGATGCAGCGGCGTAGGCGCGTGAGCAGCGTCGATTTGCTGAAGAGCCTTGGGAGTGGGGATGACACTGTCGGCATGATCGGCATGATCGGTATGATCGGCATGATGGTTCATTATCGGACGATGCGTCGGAGGAACATGATCATTTTCAACGTCGGCGTCGGCGCCCACGTTGAGCAGTTGAGCATGAGTATGCTTGGAAGCATGGGGCGAGAAGGAGCCTTTGTCCTTACTAGGGGCGTTCGGCACGTCCTGAGAGGCCTTGGAAACATTATTACCACTCGTGACGGTTGCTGTTGCGAGGTGGGCCGAGGACGCGCCGATCAGCAGAACGAGAATCATGAATGGGGCCGATGTGATCCGTGGTTTCGCCATGATGCCCGTCCAACGCGGATATCGCGTTAGCTTGTTGCGCGTCGAATGAATTCGACGCTGAATTCAAGTGGAAGTATTACAAATACCTCGACTGGAGGAATTTCTTCAGCCAGGAAACAAGCAGCGGGGCGCGGGTTTGGCTGGGGGGTGGAGGAAGCGGGTTTCAATTTGCTCGCTGTGGTTTGACATTCTGCTCGGTCCAATTTTATATATTTCCAACTTTGCAGTCCGCGATTCGGCTCGTGTCGGTGCGGTCGGAGGGGAAAATTGTGACGCACGGCAAACTGAGGTTACGGACTTCGATTACCGTGAGCGAGACTGGTGAGGCAATGTCGACGAAGCGCGAAGCCAGGTTACGGACTTTCGGGTGGAGTGAACGAGAGGGGGGAGTGGGTGAGGTTGGTGTGACAAACCCAACTTTTCCCGAAGCCCACGAGGGTCTGAGTGCCTAGCGACTTCTGACGAAGAGGTGGTCCGACCAGGGCGATCAACGAACTGCTGTTTCGGTTACCACAGCTGGGCAAAAACGAATCCAGACTGCATCAAGATTTTTCTCTTCCCCCCAAACCTCCCCCCCCAAAATCCCCCCCCGCCCCCCACCTCACCCCTCCCTTAAAGCCCCCCTCTCATATTTCCAGAGGTACACATGGTGCCCGCCGGAGGCCCAGCTCAATACGTGGCCCAATCAGGAACCATCGCCCATTAGCGTTGTCACACGGGCAACGGCCCACTCAACGTGGGCCGTGAACAGAGCCAGCAGTGCAGCGTCATCATGACAGCGGTGACAAACATGCGGCACAAGACGAAAGATGTGCGCCGCAACCGTTTTCGCCACAAACTTCCAGCAGCGCTCGGAATAGCGCTCCGGCGAAGGTCAGCGAGCCTTTCGTTGAGCTCGCAAAATTACACACGCCTCGCTGGGTTTGTTTGTGGCTTGAGCGTCGCCGCACGAAACCGAACGCTGACTTGGCAGCGAAATGGAGTCACGATGTCCCGATGCCAGGGGTCGTTCTCAACATCCGAAAGCCAACCCAGGAACAGACTCGAAAACAAATTTCCACAATCCACGCAGTAGTTATTGTTGCGACACGAACCTTCAGTTCGTAATGTAAGAAATATTTAGAACACGCCCGTAATATTTGGAGCTGAAATGCGACTCCAACACCTCACCCCATCACTCTGAGTATAAAAGGGAGCAAACCAAACCAGAAAAAATCACTCAACATCTCACCCGCCAACCACCACTCTGGTGCTACACCAGAGAAACTCACTCTCGCTTGAAAGCGCCGAAACTTAACATAGGGTAACTAAGTGAACAATGGCTCGCCAAAATATGCCACTCAAACCTACCCCGCAAAACATCAAAATGGTAACCTTCGTGCCCGTGCGAAAGGCCCACATGCCCGTGACGATGCCGTGCGAAACCCGTGCGCGTTTTTGTCTACCGGCACCCTGAAAAGTTGTGTTCCTCTGTCAGGCTCAAGGTGTACTACCATTGCTCGGGCAGGCGCGACAATGATGGGGTAACGAGGAACGAAATTTGTGGTCACGAAACGAGGGGTTGGGCGAACCAACAAAAAGCTCGGTAGAAATCCCAGCCACGAAGTGGAGGTTGGGGATCGCCCCCACCAAACCCCCAAACCTAAAATGTGTCGCCTGCCAGCTTGGCGCGTGCCTGGCGACACAGCCAAAACAGAGACACCACCACCAACCCCTCTGCCAACTGATCGAACCCCCTATGAACCAGGAACCACACCACCAACACACATGCCGCCCAACTACAGCGTCTGCGGAGAAGGCCCAGCGCCCCAGGCCCTACGCCCTACGCCCTACTCGCACCGTCCCGCGCCCCTCCTCCCATCTCCGAAACTCCCAAGTTTCGGAGCGTCGCTGAATTGGATTCGAGAGGTGGTGAGAATTACAAGAAACACAGTTCCTTTTCTGGCGTACCGATATCTCTACGACATGAAGGTCAGCGTTCAGGGGCTTTCGGATCACAGGGCGACCTACCACACCAGAAATCCAGGGCTTGACCGAACGTTAAGTGTCACTCACCTGGTGCAGACGCGGGCGAATACTGTGACCCCGCAGCCCTACAATACAACAGGCACGCAAAAAAAAAAACCCGAGGACTTCTGGTGGCCGAAATACGGAAAATCATCTTCAGCGAAAGGGCACGAAGCTCCGAAACCATACTCGCGAGGACGAGAAATCCCTGACAGCCTACTCTATTACTTAGCGGCGAACTGGACACGTAATTGACCCATCCCAAAAATTAGGGTGGCAAAATGATACCCCCAAGACTGCCGCAGGTAACCTGAGGGTTTCGCGCTGGGGGGTAACCCTGGGGCTTCCGACTGAGTGACCTCGGGGAAACCGACGATCAAAATGCCTTTCGATGTGACCCGTGGGAAACCCACGAAGTCACACCTTTCCGAAACATTCGGGTTACCCTCAGGTGTCATCAGGGCTAGGTGGGGGGAACGTGAGGGCATCCCTTTTCCGAGGCGCGTCCTTGATACAAGCCAGTCGATACGCGTACAGTAACTTATAGTACACCTGAAAAGTAATTAAATGCTCTCATGAAAAAATTATATTGGTATATTCCATTCGTGCTCTTCTCCAATGCTCATTTGCCAATAGCAGAATCGACAGATTTTACAGGTTTACAGCCAAAAAATATTGCTAATACATACAGATTTTAGTCAACAGGTTTACAACATTTCAGTATTCAAAATTCCGACTTGTTATTGATAATACATACACCACAAATATTTCGGACTGGAACGAATGGTTCGTAACTCCGTGGAGGTGACAATCACCAAACTTAGTACACAGTAAGGATGGAAAGAGAGCAATAAGCAAAACTACGCAAAAAGAAATAAGACAGGGAAAGGAAAAATAAACAAAACCAGTTTACGCTTGTTACAGTTAGGCAGTCAGAGCCCGGACCTGAGAAAAGCTTCACAAAAAGAGTGTTGGCGGGACACAACCCGAACCTCTCTCTGTACAGCTCCGGCAGGATAACAGACATCGCAAGTTGGCACGGCTGCTGTGATGAAACAAGACGAAAAAACAGGCATACACAGGTATGCAATGGCAAACCGCGAAGATGTGCCTTACCCTTCATCGTAAATGGCAGTGAGCCACTGTCGAAAACGCGACTAGTATCAGCCAAATGAATCACGTGCCATCACCTGAACGACAGAGGTCCAAATTTATGAAAGAACCTTTGCCTTCGTCCTGGAAAAACGAAAAGCGGGAATAAGACACGGTTTGAAGTGACAAAACGCCATAACACGAATGCCAACGTCCGACCAAAGACCATGCAAGAATGGGAGTTGTGACCGGGACAAAACCACAAACGGAGAATCAAACATATGAACCAGACTCGGGTACGGGTCGACGCGCAGAGTTGTACCTAGGGTATACGCACAGGTACGACATCGATAAGCTGACCGTCCGAGGGCCGCGGGCTTGGGTATCTGAGAGAAACAAAGAAGATAGTATAGCGTTAATTCACGAATTGTGACAGGAGGGGAGCGGCTAATTGGAGCATGAAAAGCAGGGATGCTAACACGAAGTGACGCGTTCACCCTAACCTGGTCGCCGTGCCTGATGTGAACGGTGCATCGCTAAGGAAGAAAGGTGGAAACTGGCGTGAGAAACAATGAATGGAAGGACTGAGGATTGAGTTCAGTTGAAGTCCAGTGAGAGCAGCCAGATTAGCCCAACGGAGAACTTGGGTTTGGAGTCGTGTTCCGAGATTCGAGTCTGTGTGTTCGTTGCGTAGCGCTGTACGTTGAACACCATATGTTGCGTGCATATTGAGCCGATATTTTGTAACAAGGCCTTAGATTTCGACTTTCAGACTGATCATTGTCGTCTGAAATCGCCTAGCAGAACGCACCCCACCTTCGTTCTGTCCTTACCAGACTTGTGATTTCGCATGTGTTGGCAGCCGAAGAAAAGGAGAAAACGATGGTGTGCTCTCATTGGTCAGCTGTTGGAAGACCGTACCCATCAATATCTTACGCGTAAAAGCGGCCCCGTCTAGAGTCATACAAGTTTGATAATTTATGTCTAACTAGTTTTCCACTTCGCTGTACACGCGTGTATGCAATTGGCGGCACAACTCCAGGCCTGGGCTTCGCACCTTGCTATTGGCCAGCACGAACTGATGGTTTGAGTTCAAAATCAGCTTGGTAAGCAGATCCTGATTGGCTGTCAAGTTTCGTTGCGAGGGGTAGCGAATTATTTTGCCTATGTAACAGCTTCGCCTTGCTCACAGGTTTCTCCTGGCACTCTTGGGGGGAACAATGGGGCATCCTGGCGTAGGACACCTGTGGGTATCCCTCGCCCCCAAGGCCACTTTGCCTTCGCAGAATTTTGGGATGCCCTCCGCGAGGTCAGGCGCACGTGGGAGGGGAGAGAGGGCAGCGCGTGGAGTACGCCGCACAAAGAACGCATAGCGTGGGAAGGTAAGTAGTACCATGGCGCAAAGCAACGACCATAAAACGCGGCGAGCATGAATCCGTTCCGCATCCGTTTTGCCATCTCACCTCCCTCTCATTCTCCCCTGACTCCCTTCCGCCCCTATTGTGCTATCTCACCTCCCTCCCTTTCTCCCTTGACTCCGTTCCGCCCCTATTGTGCCATCTCACCTCCCTCCTTTTCTCCCTTGACTCTGTTCTGCTCCAGTTTTGCCATCCCACCTTGTGCTCTCTTTCTGTATGACTCCGTTCCGCCCCTATTGTGCCATCTCACCTCCCTCCCTTTCTCCCTTGACTCTGTTCTGCTCCAGTTTTGCCATCCCACCTTGTGCTCTCTTTCTGTATGACTCCGTTCCGCCCCTATTGTGCCATCTCACCTCCCTCGCTTTCTCCCCTGACTCCCTTCCGCCCCTGTCTTGTCATCTCACCTCCCTCCCTTTCTCCCCTCACTCCCTTCCGCCCCTGTCTTGCCATCTCACCTCCCACCCTTTCTCCCATAACTCCCATCCGCCCCTGTCTTGCCATCTCACCTCCCTCCCTTTCTCCCCTGACTCCCTTCCGCCCCTGTCTTCTCATCTCACCTCCCTCCCTTTCTCCATGACTCCGTTCCGCCTCTGTTTTGCCATCTCACCTCCCACCCTTTCTCCCCTGACTCCAATCCGCCCCTGTCTTGCCGTCTCACCTCCCTCGCGTCCTCCCCTGACTCCCTTCCGCCCCTGTCTTGCCATCTCACCTCCCTCCCTTTCTCCCTGACTCCGTTCCGGCTCTGTTTTGCCATCTCACCTCCCACCCGTTCTAGCCCGACTATGTTCCGCCCCTGTCTTGCCACCTCACCTCCCTACCTTTCTCCCCTGACTCCCTTCCGCCCCTGTCTTCTCATCTCACCTCCCTCCCTTTCTCCATGACTCCGTTCCGCCTCTGTTTTGCCATCTCACCTCCCACCCTTTCACTCCTGACTCGGTTCCGCCACTGTCTTGCCATCTCACCTCCCTCCCCGCCCTCCATAGGTGGTGAATCATGCCCTTGCGGTCCATCACTAACTCCCACATCACCGTCGACAATGCCAGCCACCTCGTCCGCCACCTCATCCGCTTCAATATGCACAAACCCCCGTTCTGTGGTAGCCTTTGCTGCTGCCCCACCTGATGAACCTTCGTTCCCGTTCACAAGCCCCCGCCAACGATCCAACACTGAATCCACCCAACCCCAATCCATTTTCTCAAGCACCCGATCTTTCTTCCCCCGCTACACGCGTGTGGCCTTCCTGATGTGAACCTTCCACTCTCTGACAACACGGTTACACGAGTGGTTCCAATGAAGCACAGAGAGTGCCACACGCGCCTCCATGCTAGCGAGTAGAGAGAGTCGTTTTGGTGCGTACTTGGTAATCAAACTATGGAATGACTCGTTGACCCAGTTGCTTGCACCATGGACATATGGGTGCTCAGCACCACAGTGCGCGGCGAGCCACTTCCTGAATGCCTTGTGGGTCTTTGAATTTGGCTTATAGAGCGTGCTCTCGAAACCCCAATGCTCGGCCACACAACGTGGTGCAGGTCCCTCTCGATGGCAATGTCCATGAATGCCCGCCCAATGCTCTGCACACGTGGCGATCTCCCTAGCTACTTCCTGTGGCGTCATCAGTCGTCCTGCCTTTTGTCGAGCGGCGCATCGTAACATTACGTGGTGGAAGTGTATGGTAAAATGTTGTGCCACGGATACATCCTCCCACACCAGCCGAACCCCGTCTTCGCTGTAGCAATCCCCCTCATCGGGCCTACTCCGCTTGCCGGACCGCCTCTCCACCCAACGTGTGGTTCGGGGCGCTCGGTCATCGCGTTGGCTGCTCATAGATGCCACAACAACCTCCTCTGCAGCGCTCGCACCATTGTTGAGTGCCGGGGTCATTGCTTGTTGTGCGTTCCCTGAGACACCCACCCGTTGGGGGAAACAGGGTGGGACAATTGGGGGTTGTAGTTATGCCGCTCATATTTGACATGTGCACTATACAACCATAACGACAAATAGAATATCGCGTACCTGCTTGACACTCCGCGTCTTCGGTCGCATCACCATACTCATACTCGATTGCCATGAGTGCCTCCGCGGTCTCGTGAACGTAGTCGGCACACATGCCCCTATCAACATGCGGACGCGCTGCGTCTGGATCAAAGTCGAAGAGCCGGTTCACGTCCTCCCACTGAATCCCCAACACCTCGTCCAATCCATCCTCCATATCTGCCTCCTCTAATCCCTCCCCACAACCCGCGACGTTCCCAAGCTCCTCCTCTCCCTCGCTCACATCCACGATGGGCACTGGCAGGGCATTCTCCTTGTCCCCCACATTCTCATCACCGCAACGACGCTTGCTTGACGAGGCCTCACCGGCCTTTCTCCTAACCTTTTGGACTTTGCGCAACTCTTCGTACGCATGCTTCGGTGGGCACTTTGCTTTTGGATCAAATTGGAACCTTTTCAGCTTTGCACAAACCGCCCTAATCAATGTCTTCTTTTGGGAGTTCTTGGTTACTCGAGCACCCCCTCCCCCGCGGTCGGCCAGCCAATTCCACAGTTCTTCTGGTGGTACCAGCCACAACTCGGAACATGACGTAGCTTCCGAGACTCTCATGGCACTCCTCTGCGCGTCCACCAAATCCTTGACAAACAACTTGGCGAGTGCTCTCCCCTTGTGCCACACGTCCATTTGATGATTTATCCCTCTCCCCACGAGAGCCCTTTTAAAAGAACTTCCATCGTCTGAAATAATGCCGGTCACCTTGAAGCCCCATTCTTTCAGCTTGTCAAGACCCCTCACAGAAGCAATCCCCTCCAAAGCAGTTGAGGACACCCCTTCTGTCTTTTTGCACACGGTGACACACAACAAAACCTTGCGTGTCCGTGGATCCATGAAGGTGACAGTGCACCATCGTCCTTCTCTCGCCTGTGACCAGCGTCCGTCAACACATATGTACTCCTCATGCAATTCCAACTCTTCCCTTCGCCTCCGCATGTTATTCCTAACGTATGACATGCAATCTTCCCCTTGGAGTATCATAGCCTCCCACAAACCATAGGGTCGGCGCATGTAGCGGTAAAATGTCTCTTGACCAATCTCTTTAATACCCAACGTGCGACTTACCTCTGTCATATGCTGGAAACCTAGGCCAGCTAGCGCAAAGGCACCCAAGAAACGTAGAAACAAAAGCGAAGACTTCGGTCCTTGCTTGTTTTTACTCTTTGTGATCTTGCCCCGTTCGGTAGACCAAAACTCCTTCACCTTTGAGCACGAATCACAGACCCACAGGACTCCAAAGCACGCCCATTTGACCTTGCATGATTGCAGCACCATCCTGCCCCTGCATGCCGCCACCTGACAGCATAGCAACCCCATGCCCAAAAAGAACTGAATGAGTTCCAGAGGGTCCAGAAGGCATACCGCCCCACGTTTCAAAGAGGTGAGACTAGTCGCAGGAGGCCATGCGCAGCTGGATCCCTTCCTCCTTGTTGTGCATCTAGCATCTGCAGGGGCGCTGCAGTAAAGACACCAGGGGGGGGTCAAATGTGAGACGCGGTTCCCAATATGCATTGCTGTTGCTGTACATGAAAGGCCTAGCAAACACGAATGGCGGGTCGCGTCACGCGCGGAGAGGACTTGGTGTACCTAGTGTGAGCCCCTCGAGTGCCAGTCTGGGGCACCTCTGACCCCTCCGCACCCTGCTCGTGCGTCGCCACGGGTGATTCTCCCACCCCATGGTGGCGCTCTTCAACGGTATGCCCACCCGTTGCCATGCCATCCCTTTCCACGCCCTCATCCTCACCCACGTCCCAGCCACCCACGGGGGGTGACCCCCCATGTTCCCTTATTCCGTTACCCCCCCTCGTCGGTGGGGCAGCCTCTTTGTTCTCCCCTCTCCACCTCCCCCTCATTTGGCAGTGCCTCTGCACGTTCCCCCCCTTCCCCCACAGTCCCTACATGGCCTGCCTCTTCACCTCCCACAGCCCCCAGCACAGTGCCTCCAGCGTTCCCAACCCCATCCCCTCCCTCGCTCGTCTGTCCCGCCGCCGTGTCTTGGTTGCGGACTGCAATGTGGGACGGGGAGGACAATGAAAGTAGGGCCCCACGTTTGGGGCTGGTCATTGGCTGGAATTTCTTTACAAGGCAGAAGATGGTCTACAATCATACAACATCTTCTCTATGTTGCACTGACTGCAAATAGCAACATGTGGTCTACCTGACTCGAGTAGCTCGGCGTAGGCCGGACCAGTTCGTGGTCCGCCGTGGGCAAACCCCGTGTCCGGAGCTAGCTGCTTCTTTTCATTCACATGAAACGTATCGATATTGTACTCAAAGCCAGACGCCAAAGCTGGATCCCTGTCCAACAGCTCTTTGAGGGTAACTTGCTCCCCCCCCTGCTTCTTCCAGAATTGCTGCTCTTGAGCCTTCAGACGGAGTTCCGCTTGCTTCTTCACAGTATCTCCCCTGCCCCCTGCCACACATGCGGTGAGGTACATTCCTTTCATGGGAGATGGTCCGTTTACCCCCGAATCTGTGGGCTAGTTTCGACAATTGCCCCACTCTGGCAACTTTATGGCCGAGAGTACGTACCGGCCTTTTCAGCAGCGGCGAAAAGCTTGTCCACGGCATCAAATGCAGAAGCCGACAATACATGTAGCACGTCATTTATTGATGCTTCGCGCCCGGTGAGTGCTGTCAAGCCACATCTCATGATGGCTAGTGGAAGGAGCATGTGCCTGCCGGGCGACACCATCTTTTGCTTGTACCCATCCATGATGCTCTTCAAGTAGCCACACATCACGGCTCCCTCATTCTGCCCGTCCTCCAGTCCCCTTTGCACGGCGCTGTGCAAGCATAAGACAATTTGTGTGGGGTTTTGGAGGGGAGGTATACACATTTGATCAATAGCCGGTTTGAGGATAGCAGGTATCAACCCTGTGTTCACATGCATTATGTTACCCAACCCCTGTCGAGGATGGTTCTGGCACCACACGCACCTAGATTCCATTGGTGCGGGATTCTCTTCTAGTCCCTGTTTGCAGATTCCCGACTCGTTTGGATCCAGCCCACCTGTAGAGGGAGCACGCGACATGGGCAAGACGAGATGTCATTAGGGACACTACTCAGAATATGTCGCGTGATGTCCTTCACAGGGGCCCGCAACGTCTAGTTGTCGAGTTCGGGCCAAGCTCTATGCAGGACTAGACTTGCCAAAGACTAAGGCGGCTATGGCAATTGGTATAGTCAATACAGTTTTTTAGCGTTGCAGCCCTTGTTGGAGTACGCACAGTTTTTGTGTGCTACAGCCAGGGATGTCGATGAAGAAAAGGAGTTACAGCCATCCTTGTAGTCACTGCATCTTTTGAGTGCTACGACCATTGCTGTACTGAATACGGCTGTAATGAGTCGATATTTGAGTCGACTAAAAAATCGACCCATTGCACACGGTTTATTCACATCATCTTTTGGGTGCTAAGGCCAGAGCTGTATTGAATACGGCCTTGCAGTGTTAAAGCTCAAGCTGTAGTCACCATATTCTTGGAGTGTTACGGCCATTGCTGTAGTCCGCTTTGCTATGACTGTTACAGCCACAGCTGCAGTCAATACAGTTTTTGTGTGATACAGCCATTGCTGTAGTCAATCCAGTTGGTGAGTGTTACTACCATTGCTGTGGTAAATACAGTTTCTGAATGCTACAGCCAGTGCTCTAGCCAATACAGTTCTTGGGTGTTACATCAATACTTGTAGGCACTAAAGCTTTTGAGAGCTACAGCTGTTGCTGCAGTGACTACAGATTTATAATGCTACTGCCATTGCTGTGGTCAAAGGTTGTCACTATATTGTTGGAGTGCTACGGCCATTGCTGTAGTCCTCTTCGCTATGAATGTTACCGCCATAGCGGCAGTCAACACAGTTTTTGAGGGTTGCAGCCGTTGCTGTGGTCAATACAGTCTTTGTGTGTTACAGACATTGCTGTAGTCAATACAGTGTTTTTGTGGTACTGCCTTAGCTGCCTCCCTTGCAATGTTTTAGTGTTACTATGTAGCTGTAGTCACTGCAGCTTTTGATGTACTGCAGCGTGTGATGTAGTCTGTACAGTTTTCAGGTGCTGCAGCCATAGCTATGGTCAATTCAGAGTATTACAGCCCTAGCTGTAGTCACCACAGTTTATTAGTGTTACAGCCCTAGCTGTAGTCACCATATTTCTGGAGTTTTGCGGCCATTGTTGTAGAACTCTTTGGTTTGACTGTTACAGCCATAGCTGCAGTCAATACAGTGTTTGAGGGTTGCAGCCTCTGCTGAAGTTAAAACTGTCTCTGTGTGTTGCAGCCATTGCTGTAGTCAATCCAGTTGGTGAGTGGTACTACCATTGCTGTGATCAATACGGTTTTTGAGTGCCACAGCCAGTGCTGTAGACAATACAGTTCTCGGGTGTTACAGCAATACCCGTAGTCACTGTAGCTTTACAGAGCTACAGCTGTAGCTGCAGTGACTACAGATTTATAATGCTACTGCCATTGCTGTGGTCAAAGGTTGTCACTATATTGTTGGAGTGCTACGGCCATTGCTGTAGTCCTCTTTGGTATGACTGTTACCACCATAGCGGCAGTAAATACAGTTTTTGAGGGTTGCAGCCGTTGCTGTACTCAATACAGTCTTTGTGTGATGCAGCCATTGCTGTAGTCAATCCAGTTGGTGAGTGTTACTACCATTGCTGTGATCAATACGGTTGTTGAGTGCCTCAGCCAGTGCTGTAGCCAATACAGTTCTCGGGTGTTACAGCAATACCCGTAGTCACTCTAGCTTTTGAGAGCTACAGCTGTAGCTGCAGTGACTACAGATTTGTAACGCTACTGCCATTGCTGTGGTCAAAGGTTGTCACTATATTGTTGGAGTGCTACGGCCATTGCTGTAGTCCTCTTTGCGATGACTGTTACCGCCATAGCGGCAGTCAACACAGTTTTTGAGGGTTGCAGCCGTTGCTGTAGTCAATCCAGTTGGTGAGTGTTACTACCATTGATGTGATCAATACGGTTTTTGAGTCCTACAGCCAGTGCTCTAGCCAATACACTTCTTGGGTCTTACATCAATACCCGTTGTCACTATAGCTATTGAGAGCTACAGCTGTAGCTGCAGTGACAACAGTTTTATAATGCTACTGCCATTGCTGTGGTGAAAGGTTGTCACCATATTTTTGGAGTCCTACGGCCATTGCTGTAGTCCTCTTTGCTAGGATTGTTACCGCCATAGCTGCAGTCATTACTGGTTTTGAGGGTTGCAGCCGTTGCTGTAGTCAATACAGTCTTTGTGTGTTCCAGCTATTGCTGTAGTCAATACAGTGGTTTTGTGGTACTGCCTTAGATGTAGTCAATGCAACTTTTCAGTGTTACTATGTAGCTGTAGTCACCGCAGCTTTTGATGCAGTACAGCATGTGATGTAGTCTGTACAGTTTTCAGGTGCTGCAGCCATAGCTATGGTCAATACTGATGTTCAGTGTTACAGCCCTAGCTGTAGTCACCACAGTTTATTAGCGTTACAGATATAGCTGTAGTCACCACAGTTTATTAGTGTTACAGCTCTAGCTGTAGTCACCATATTTCTGGAGTGTTACGGCCATTGTTTTAGTCCTCTTTGCTTTGACTGTTACAGCCGTAGCTGCAGTCAATACAGTTTTTGAGGGTTGCAGCCGTTGCTTTGATCAAAACTGTCTTTGTGTGTTACAGCCATTGCTGTAGTCAATACAGTTGGTGAGTGTTTCTACCATTGCTGAGGTCAATACGGTTTTTGAGTGCTACAGCCAGTGCTGAAGCCAATACAGTTCTCGAGTGTTACAGCAATTCCCGTAGTCACTAAAGCTTTTGAGGGCTACAGCTGTAGCTGTAGTGACTACAGCTATATAGTGCTACTGCCATTGCTGTAGTCAAAGATTGTCACAATATTTTTGGAGTGTTACGGCCGTTGCTTTAGTCCTCTAAGCTTTGAGTATTACAGCCATAGGTGTAGTCATTACAGCTTTTGAGTGCTCCAGCCGTTGCCCTAGTAACTGCCTTTGTGTGCTATGGCCATTGTCTCTGTGCACGACGGACATTGCGGTAGTCAATGCAGGGTGGGGTTGCATAGGGAAGGGATGCATAGAGTGGGCATGCATAGTGGGGGTTTGCATAAGTGGGGGATGCAGACGGGGGTGATACATCAGGGGGGGATGCATAGTGGGGATGCATAGGGGGAGGGGTGCATGGGGGGGGTAGTGGCGCAGCGGCGTACGGAGCGACTGGCGCAACGGTGTGGGGTGTCCCCTCCTAGGCGGCGTGGGCTGTGAGTGGCACAGCTGTGTGGGGAGTGTGAGGCTGGGCGGCGCGGGGAGTGAGTGGCTCAGCTGCGAGGGGAGTGTGTGATTGGGCGGCGTTGGGAGTGAGTGGCCCCTAGTCACGGGTTGTGAGTGGCGCAGCTGCGTCCGTGTGAGTGCCGCAGCTGCGTGGGGAGTGAGTGGCGCAGGTGAGAGGAGAGTGTGTGGCTGGGCGGCGTGGGGAGCGTGTGGTACAGCTGCGGGGGGTGTGAGTGGCGCAGCTGCGTGGAGGTGTGTGGCTGGGCGGAGTGGGGGGTGAGTGGTGCACAACGCGAGGGGTGTGTGTGGCGTAGCTGCATGGGGAGTGAGTGGCGCAGCTGCGCGGGGAGTAAGGACACTGAGCTGTGTGGGGAGTGTGCGGCTAGACGGCGTGGGGAGTGAGTGGCGCACACTCGCGATGCGGGAGTGGCGCAGCTGCAAGGGGAGCGAGTGGCGCAGCTGCGTGGGGAGCGTGCGGCGCAGCTGCGTGGGGAGTGGCGTAGCTATGTAGGGAGGTGAGTGGCACAGCCACATAAGGTGGGGAGTTGCGTTGCACGGTGAGTTGCGCTGCGCAGTGGGGAGTGCATGGCGCGGCGATGGTGGTGAGTGCGTGGCGCGGCGTCGTGGGCGGTGCGTGGCGTGGCGTCGTGGGCAGTGCATGGCGCGGCATCGTAGACAGTGCGTGGCGCGGCGTCGTGGGCAGTGCGTGGCGACGATTCGTAGGCCGCGCGGGGCGCAGAGGCCCATGCAGGGTATGGCCCCATAGCATAGGGAGTTGGTGGCGCGAAATGGGGAGTGGGGGAGTTGGCATGGGGAGTGGGGCACCAGATATGGGGTATGGGGAGTAAGTTGCGAAAAGGGGGGTGGGGAGTGAGCCGCGTCTCAAGGAAGGAGGGGTGAGTCGCAAATCGTCCCGTGGGGTGTTTGTGGCAGCTCGTGGCAAGAGGCGCGCGGCGCTGATGTGTGAGGCGGTGCGTGCGCACCTTGTTTGTTTGCGCAGATCACGCGCCGTAGTCCCTTTCTACAAGGCGTCGTCCTTCGCTGCCCTTGCCACAGTGACTGGATGCTATTCTCAGGCACACTACCTTGTGCCTGCTCCCCAGAGTCGCTAACCCCATCCTGGCTACGTCTGCTACGGTGGGTGGACAGTGTTTCGATTTTCGTTGTCTCATATTTCTGCAGTGAGTAATACCTTTGGTTGAGACGGGGGGTGAACAATGTGCAAGAGCGTATGTTTCGTTGTCGCACGGCAGGTTTGCGATCACTGTGGTGTGGCATGGGTGTCGCATGGGGGTTTTCCCGAACCTTTTTGCTTTGTGGCCAATCAGGGGCACGTACACCCCAAACCAACCAAAGTTGCGACTCCCACCCTTGTTACCCTATTACGCAAGAGTATTACCTTTTCTCAACACTGGAAATATGAGAGGGGGGCTTTAAACCCCTATTTGGGCTGCGGTTTCTCCAATATCTGCTGCTTCTGCCTCTGCGGTTTCTCCAGTATTTGCTTCGTGATCGTCCCAAAACAATGGAGTTTCGCGACTAGTCCGCTAACACTTCTCTTCACCACCTTTTACTGAATGATGTTGTGGTGTTTGTTGCGCGAATCGTAAATTGCACGATGGTCGCGCGTTTCGCCGCCGGCCAGTCGCGTCTCAGCTCCTCGTCCACTTGAGCAGTAGGGGAACGAAATTAGAGACGTCGTAAAAACCAATTCCTACAGAGGTAGGAGGGACAGACAGAGAGGGAAGGTGAAGCCAGAGAGCGGGGATGAACTCGCTCCTGCGGCGGTTGGACGGAAGCTTTCTGCCTGAGCTCACTCAGAACCGCATAACTTGACAGAGTCTCCGAGACGTTGAGTCAACAATGGCCATTTTTTAGGCGCCTAAAAAATCTGCTTCCTGTCTGAGATCACTCAGGACCGCATTATTTCACGGACGTCTCAACTCACGACGCTCATTCTGAGTCCAAGACGCTCATTCTGACTCCCTTGGAGCGCGACCACGACAATGAAAGTGTGAGTCTTCACAGTTGGCCCGTCTGACCGCTTCCCCTTGACCAGCATAAGCGATTTCCCTCCACCTCTCTCCCTCCACTTCTCTCCTTCCACCTCTCTCCCTCCACCTCTCTCATTCCCACCTCTCTCCCTCCCACCTCTCTCCTTCCACCTCTCTCCCTCCACCTCTCTCCTTCCACCTCTCTCCCTGCCACCTCTCTCCCTGCCACCTCTCTCCCTCCACCTCTCTCCCTTCCACCTCTCTCCCTCCACCTCTCTCCCTCCACCTCTCTCCCTCCCACCTCTCTCCCTCCACCTCTCTCCCTTCCACCTCTCTCCCTTCCACCTCTCTCCCTCCACCTCTCTCCCTCCACCTCTCTCCCTCCCACCTCTCTCCCTCCACCTCTCTCCCTCCACCTCTCTCCCTCCCACCTCTCTCCCTCCCACCTCTCTCCTTTTCCTCCCTTCCTGCTGATCTCCACTCGTCCCTCCTCCCTCCCTCCCCTCCCAACCCCCTACTCCACTTCTCTCTCCCTCCAGCCTGCAGCCGTGTGCAGGCCTCTTGACCAACCACGAGGTGTTTCAACTACTGACGGACAGAGGAGCCATGGGAGCAGTGGACGTGTCGCAGGGCGGCATGGGGCCGGCAGCCATAGAGTGCCAAGTGTACCGCTACCTCTGCGCCGCCCCTGCCGCCACGCAGACACGAGCAGCGGTGGCGGCGTGCACAGAGTGGGCGGCGTCGTTTGGACTGACGCGGGCGGAAACGCTGCAGCTGGTGAACCTGCGGCCGTCCCAACCTGTAGAAGCACACCTGGTAGGTGGCAAAACGTACTCGTTATAAGCATTCATGCTATGGTGACAGTTATTCGTTATAGACACATTTGGTTTGGTAGCAGCCCTTAGTTCTAGTTGAATCGATCTTCGCCCCACCCTCTCTCTCTCTTCCATTCTGAGCTGTGCAGATGATATCGGACTGTGATATGCGCCTGCCGGGCAATAGGATAGGATGGGCGCCTTACTTTCACCTCGGTTCTTTCCCTCCCTTCTCTCCTTCCTCTCTCTCTCGTCCATTCCGTACTGCTGCAGATGATATCAGACTGTGAAATGCGCCTGTCAGGCGTTAGGATATGATTGAGAAACTACTACAAGCGGTTGATGAAATTGCAGCTGCAATTTGATGGAAGTTTCCTGCTCCCGTCCCCCCCTTCCCCATATGCAGAGCGTATCGGACTGTGAAAATGAAATGCGGTTGCCACGCGACAGGGTAGAGCAGCTATTACAGGCAGTGGGAGCGTCAGCAGCTGTGATGCGAGTCGCCTTGCCTGCTCTCCCCTGTTCCTTTCTACCTTACCCTCCTTCCCTCCCCCTGTCCAGATCATATCGGGCTGTGAGATGCGGCTACCAGGCAACAGGGTGGAGCAGGCAGCCGAGGAAGCATTGTGACCACTCCCTGTCCCCCTTTCCTTCACCTCAGTCCTTTCCCTCCCTTCTCTCCTTCCCCCCTCCTCCCCCCTCTTCCCCCCTCTTCCCCTCTCTTCCTCTGTTCTCAGATCATATCAGACTGCGAGATGCGGCTGCCAGGTGACAGGGTGGAGCAGCTACTACAAGCGGTTGAAGAAACGCTGCCAGCAGCACCAGAAGTAGAAGGAACAGAGGAAGAAGCAGCGGCTGTTGAGGGGGGTTGAGTTTTGGCAAATGTTTTTATGTGGAGCGTAAAGGCTGAGGCTGTTGAAAGGTACTCCGTGATGTGCTGGCAGAGATAAGGACAGGGGAGAAACATTGCCAGCAGCAATGGAGAGATGGTTGCAGGGGAGGGCGAGGAAGCACAAAGGCACTAAGGCTAGTGACACTAGAGCCTATGTGTGTTGGCCCATGGAACAGTGGTGATGATGGCTGGTGTGTCAAACAAATATGCAATATGTTAATATAGGCTAGTTATATGCCTTTAGAGAGTTCAACCCACTAGGTAGAAGCACTCTGTACTGTTGTTTCTACTAATCTCGCTGCTCTGAGATGGTATCGAGTAGGTTCCGTCCTCCCACCTGCTTCCGCCCTCGCCCTTCCCTTAGCTCTCCGCTATTCCATTAGCGCCCCGCTGGCCCGTTAGCGCCCTCCTGGCCCCTTAGCGCCCTGTTGGCCCGGTAGCGCCCTCCTGGCCCCGTACGTCCTGCTCTGCGTAAGGACCACTAGCTCTGAGAAGTCTGTAGATCCTAGTGGTCCTTACGCAGAGCTAGTGGTCCTAGTGAGCCGTACGTCCTCACATGTCCCAGCACGGTCTTGTCCTAGGTCTCCTTGCATCACTCCCTGCCCTCCCTCCCTCGCCTGCGCCGCTGTGCACGCCTTGCGTCGAGGGCTGGCTGCGCCGTGCTCCTCACTCCTCCTCGTTTCGCCCTACCACTGCGCCACTCCAGACCCTGCACCTGGATGTCTGTGGCCTAGCCCCAGTCCCCAGGCCGCGTCGAGAGCGCTACTTTCTACTGCTTGTCGACGACTACACGCGCTACACCACGGTGTTACCTCTGGAGCGGAAGGCCGATGTGCCTGGCGTTCTCATCCCGTGGGTCGTAGCTGCGCGCATCCACCGCGGTCTCCCCGTGTTGTGTCTCCACTCCGACCGTGGTGGCGAGTTTGCCTCTGGTCGGCTAGGCCAGTTCTGTCATGCGGAGGGCATCACCCAGTCGTACACCCTGCCGTACTCCCCGCAGCGGAATGGGGTCGCTAAGCGACGCATCGGTTTGGTCATGGAGGTGGCTCGTACCTCCATGATCCATGCCGGTGCACCCCATTTTCTATGGCCGTTCGCTGTTCGCTACGCCGCTCACCAGCTTAACCTGTGGCCACACTCTCAGCGGCTGCAGGTTTGGCCGACCCTTCTCTGGATCGGGTTCCCTAGTGACGCGTCTACGTTCCACGTCTGGGGCTGCCTTGCTCACGTTCGTGCCTCTAGCACGGACAAGCTCACTGCCCTCAAAGTCCCCTGTGTCTTCCTTGGCTTCCCCCTCGACTCGTCCGATTGGCATTTTTACCACCCGTTGTCCTACCGCTTGTTTCACTCTCGTTACGTCACCTTTGACGAGTCTGTCTTGTTCTAACCCCGCTTTCTTCACAGAGGCCTCCTGGTTTCCCCGCCCCTTTTTCTGCTTCTCGCTCCATTATCGCCGCCGGTCTCCGCCCCATTGTCTCCTCCTCCGCTGTCGCCGCAGCAACTGTCGTCGCCACCGTAGCAGCAGCTGCGGTTGCCGCTGCCACAGCCGCAGCCGCAGCAATCGCCGCCGCGGCAGCAGCCGCAGTCGTTGCCGCCACAGCAGCAGCCACCGTAGGGGTCCACAGGTCCTGGGGGTGGCACCGGTGCTGAAGAGGGTCCCCGTTCTGGGGGTGCTGGCGTGGAGCTTCTCGGAGGTAGCCGTGGTGCAGCTGGAGGTTCTGGTGTCGGCGTGGAGCCGCAGCAGCAGCAGTCGACGCTGGTGTTGGCCCTTCTCCTCCTCGGTCTTCCTTCCCCCAACCCCCCGCCTGCGCCTCCTTTGCCGCCGCTTCCTCTGCCTGTCTACAGCACTGTGTTTCCTCAGTCGGACTCGTCTCTGGCTAGTTTTCCCCCTCGTTCCCCTACGTGTCTCCTCCTCTGTCTCCTGACCCAACGCCTCCGTCTCACATCTGGTCTCGCCATCCCTCTCGTGTTCGTCCTATCTTTCTTGTTCCCCGCTCTCACCCTATATTGCTTCGTTCTCACGCATCTCGTCGTCCCCTCTTCCCGTGGCCTCCTCCGTCGTCGCTTGTTGTCGGGCCGCCTCCTTTCTCTGACATCCTTCGTGCTGCTAGTCCTCTTGTTCCTCGGGTCCTTGCCTTCCTCATTACCGACTCGTCTGTTCCTGTCTCCAGTCTTGACGCGCTTCTTGCTGCCGTCGCTGACTTTGCCTCTACCCGCCGCCTTGACTACGCCACCGCTCTGGTCTCTGACCCTGCCTGTACTCCGTCCATTGAGGGTGCTCCTGCCCTTAGCAATGACGTCCTAGAGGACAGGCAGAAGGAGCTAGCTTTCTTGTGCAAAGCTGTGCCTCATCTCTCCTCCATGCTGCTAGTCCCTGAGGTTGACCCAAACGCCCTCCACATCCCGACCCTTCGCACCTACGCTGAGGCGACCTCGGAACC